TTTAATCACACAAGCGTTGTTAAGTTGCATTTTAAAATCAAGATCTTCAGCTCTCATAAGTTTTTCTGCCAAAAGCTGGGAGTGGAGCGTTAAAAGATTCTGGTTCTGAAGCCAGTTGCTGTGTCGTGATTCTGACGTAAAATAACCGGGAAGGACGCAGAGTGGGAGGCCCATCGAGTCTGCAGGCCTTACCCTCGGGTGGTCAGACTGCCGCAGCCTGCTTCTCAGGCCGCCAACTGCTGGTCGGCAGCCGAGTGCATAACTATTGTGCTCTATAAGATCAGCATTAGTTAGGAAGAGTTTGTTCATAGTAATGAACTTTCTGTAAGTTTCTGAAATCATAGTTTGTACCATTTTTCGAACAACGTTCCCCCTAAGATTTGCATCGTTTACAGTTTCTGCACAGAAACCATGCTGCGAAGTCTTCAGCTATTTAGGTGTATTAAGCATAATCTGGAAGGGGGGGAAGGAAACACTGTTTTGTCTGACTGTAATGACATTTTAGTGAAAGCTATTATGTGGCCCTGGGCAGCAGTTTCCTATATAAAATATTCACCGATGTATTACTAGTCATGGTAGGTCCATTTGTTAGAAACTGTTTTTAGCAACATCAGTTTTATGTCAGATTGTGTATATAAAACTCAGCAGTGAAACAAACTAAAGTTTTGTTTGATATTTTTCTAAGATTTTCATACAAATGCATGTCCCACACAGGCATGGATATGTAAGATGGAATGACCCTCATAAACGAGATGGAGCAAAAAAGAATTTTACTTAACAGTAGATTTTATTTATGAACCAATAGTGAAATTCTTTTTTCAATTGGCATACTAGGTTGTTATTTACATTTTTTACTGGCTAACTATTGGGATACTCAAAGTTTATTCAGGCTTACACTGATAAGCCAGAATCCCTGAGCAACAGCCTTGCATTGGTAAGGCCTTCAGCAGGTAGAAGGTAGAGCTTATGGCAAAGGGGATGTGTGATGGCAATGTGACTCAGTAAGCGGCAGAGACGAGTTTGATGTAGCACATAGCTCAGATGCAGTGTCCTATTGCTCCCATGAAAATCTCTCCTCTTCCCCTAAGTTCTCTGCAAATTGGAATATGGGAGGGGCATTCAAAAAGTTTGTAGGAAAATTCTGTTATCTTTCATTCCATTTTCCACTAACCCTGAATCCTTTTTGTAGAAGCTTCTAGAAGTATGTGACACATTAAAATCTATATATTTTAGTCAATATATTACCCTTACTATATATTAAAGCATATGTTTTTAAT